TATATATATATATATATATATATATATATACACACACATATACATTACAGTAAGCAAAATGTGATTAAGTGTCAAGAAAATAATCACAATGCAAAAAATATTTTTTTCTTTTGACTTTGAGCCGAAATTTAGACATGTGTCTGTGAGATTCACCCATGAAACTACTTCTAATTTAAAACTTATTACAAATGCAACTACATAAAAATACCTTCAGTTTTTGCGTTGGATGCCGACTCCTTCACCTCAAACGCTGCAATATCTGTAACCGTGGCAACAGTAATATATGGGAAACCTATCCACAAGTGCCATCAGCAGAAATTTGAAGAGCCATGGTAATACAACCAATGCCATTGACAAACATATTACTGCAAGTTAAAATAGGCCAGGCAGCGATTTGCAGGGTTTTTACTTTGAACTGAATGAACTAAGTCTTAACACACTGCACAGGATTATGATTAAACTTCACATATTCAGCAAATAAAAGAATACATTCATAGTAATCATTCCTCTGGTTCTTATGCGTCTAAACGGCAGAACAGGCTCTCTACATTCAGATGATTAAAAAAAGCAGACCTTTTTTTATATATTTATGAAATTTGTCTCAAAAAGGAATGGAGTTGTTAGTTATTCATAGCCTCTGCAACAGAAACACCAAGCTTGCAATGAGCTGATGGATGAGAGAGGCAAAACTTTACAAGATGCTCATCAACATGCTCATGCAGACTTACGGAGACGGCACACTGGGTGTAAGAGAAGGAGAGCGTGTGTACCCTGAAAGAGCAAGCCAGGCAGGGACAGGCGACGACTGAGCTCCGCCTCCTCCTCTCGGATGTCCCCCAGGCTGGAGCTTTTCTTCCCCTGCATGGGCTCCTCCTGACGCAGTCTCTCCTCTACTCGCTCTCCTGGAACCTGGAGCATAAAAAATCTGGTCAAATGCATCATAGCTAGATTAGAATTTCTGTTTCTTCCCAATAAAAGTGCCAAAAACATCAAATAAAGGTAATGTAAACATTCAGTATAAAAACTGGAAAACACACTTACCCAGTAACCAATCACTTTTCTCAGAGAGAGAGCTTCGTATGTGGACACTACACGTTCCCCCACTGCAGAGGCACAGGACACCACCAAGTTGTTCAACGCGGAGCCCATTGGAGTCACAGACTGGGCGACCGGGATCAAGGGGTCAGAGGTGAAACGATCAGCACAGTCACTGGAGAGCTGTGACAGGAAAGATATGAGAACTTGAATTGTGCATTTAGAAGCAATTAAACAGTTCGATTTATGAT